TATGGTGCAGGAGACTCTGACCTAGCAATCCACTGCTAAGGTGGGGTTAAAAAAGAAAAGGAAAAGAGAAAGAAAAAGAAAGAAATACTATTTTCATTAGACAAAGTTAAATAGGAAACAAACTGGAAAGTGACCAGTTGACTACACAGGAGAAATAAAGTTTCAGGATTCTGGGAAAGTCTGTAAGATCTTGGTGGACTTAGGACAGACCCATTACCTCTTCACGAATTACTCCATCCATGAGCCTGAGCCTGCATGGCCTGGGTATGTACCCTTTGGGGGCCTCGGTGTTTGCAGAGGCCAGGGTTCCTATTTTGGATTTCTCATTCAAAACAGATGTTTCAGATAGAGCAGACTACCAAGAGCATTGGAAGTGACAGTTGCTGCTCCGTGGATTGCAGAGCCACAGTTGTTGGGGCATTCATGGCTGTTAGGCGACTCTTGGGTCTCCGAGAATAATCAGCAGCTGTTGGACTTAGAAGTCTGGGGCTTGCCTGGCAGAATCTGTCCTCTGCTGCCTCACTTGCTCTCATTCCAGGCTGTCACAGAGGGGCCGTGTAGACGTCGATAATGGACTGTATCTTGTATGACTGGGGAGTGCAGTTTATGCCTACAACATTTTTCTGGCCTTCAAAGCATTTGTCGCTGACAGCCCCCCTTTTTACAGAGAAACTAAAGGTCCCAGAAGTAAGAGGTTTGACCTAGGCCACAACCCTGGCACATGTTCAGACTTCTCCAGCTGTAAGGCCTGATTCAAATGCATTTCTTATATTTTCTTTTCACCACTTTGAGATATATATACATCACACACACTCTGACTTGTAAGGGAGTGTTCACACACATCTTGTCTGCTTAGCCATGTACTTTCCAAGAGCTAAGGCTGTTTGACACTGGAGTGGCACTTCCCACCCATGCAGTCTTCCTTGGAGCTAACCTTATGTGTTTCCACAGCAGCCTGCAGTTTCATCCCTTTTGGGCTGTGGCTTTATGGTGTTCAAAACCCAAGTGTGCTGTAAGGCACATGATGGATTCATGTTCATTTAACTTCATTGCTCTTATTTTTTAAGATTTGTTTATTGTGCATTAGTGAATTGCCTGTATATGTCTGTATGAAGGTGTCAGATCCCCTGGAACTGGAATTAAAAACAGGTGTGAACTGCCACGTGGGTGTTGGGAATCGAACCCAGGTCCTTTGGAAGAACAGCCAGGGCTCTTAACTGCTGAGCCATGTCTCCAGCCCACTCCACTGCCTGACTTTTAACATTACATCTTTCATGAGAGAACTTATATGTTTCTAATATATTTTGCAAATTGGATTTTGAATCTTGACCTTTCTTCATGTCCTTGTTGATGATTGCAGCTTTCTAAACACTTTGGGGCTGTTTAATGTTTCCTGGATTAAGTATTTATCAATTCACAGGATCTAGCTTCCAACTCTGTCCTGTTGTATATGATCATCTTTTTCTGTATATGTCTTGAGTATCCAACTAAATTAGAAGTTCCGGGACAAAGGCAAGTCCTCTATCTATGCATGTATATCCTTAGGACATCTGCATGCAGTGTAATGGCAACAAATCTTTGCCAATGGCTTTAGAGTAGCCAGAGTGATGGAATGTTTGCTGGCAATACACAACAGAGGCAGGTTGTCCAGTGTTGGTGGTTGATGACAAGTTTTATATGGATATGTATTTTAAACAGATATCCAAAGACCAGCCAGGTGGAAGGAATGCTCAGGTCTGCAGGAAGAGGGCTCAGATTTTGCTGAAGAGGAAAGGCCCGGGACTTCACTGGCTGGGCCATTTGTGCACGAGTCTCTGATAGGACACCCACTTCATCTCTGTTGCTCCTGAAGATCTGTTGTTTCCTCTGCGAGCACGTCTTCTCTTGTCTGGGATTCTTGTCACTCACTTAGTGTATGATAATTTCTACCAGTTCTGATTTTCAATGTTTCAAAATAAGCTATCAGAGCATGGGTTTTTAGAAACTGGAGCCTCCGTGAGATAGTCAGTTGGTAGGAAGCTAAAGAATTCCGCTAGCAGTTCAAAAGAGCTGTTGATGACATTCAGTATTCTAATGTTGGGTAGTTGTCCTTTAATGTATATAACTGTGCTCCCGAGAATGTTCCAGTTAAATGTCTGAATGCCTATTTTAAAAATCCAAAGTAAAATGTATAATTGGTTTATTAATTAGCAGGACATGGGAGACTCGCTTGAGAAAGTTCTGACAGGGATAAATTGTCGTTTAAAAGTCAGGGTGCTTATTCTGCAAATAACTCTCATGGTGTTTCTGTCCCTGGCCTGAGATGAAAGACTCCACAAGCCCCTGCATAGTCCCTCTCTGACCTGCCATTTTCCATCAAGTTCATGCAAACACCAAAAATGGGTAGAAGCTGCTTTGCGTGACGCTGGGGACTGTGTGCACAAGGGATACCTTAGTTTTTAATTTGTTCTCTATTATTAGCCTCCCAATTACTCAGACTGGATGGAAGCAAGAGAGATCTCTTTCTTAAAATAACTGCCAATTATTTAGCCCAAGATGGCAGGCAAGAGCAGTTCGTTTTAAGTAGTTTAGCATCATTTACTTCCAAGAATGTCTGTACTTACTTTTTTTTTTTTTGTCATTTTTTTTATAGCTATAGTTCCCTGCATTCTAACAAACAACAACAACAACAAAAAGCAGTTTAATAGATACCTATGTTATGAGAAGCGTTCCCACCAGCCTGGACCCAGAGGTGGGCCAGTCCCAAATAACACACAGACTCTGTATTAGATATAAAGCTGTTGGCCTGTTACTAGCATTTGTTATTGGCTAGCTCTGCCTTAAATATTAACCCATGTGGTGTTAACTTACCGGAGAGAGGGTCCAGACCTCTTCTATCAAGTCCCTACATCTTGACACCTCTCTATTCATCTCCCAGAATCCTTTGTCTCCTAGCCCCACCTATCTTGCTTTCCTATTGTCCAACAGGGCTTTATTCAATAACCAATAAGAGAAACATATTTACAGAATGACATCTCCCATCATACCTTGAAAGGATTGATCTAATTGTCCTCCTGTATCTCCATGTCTGTCGCTGGGGAAAGTTAGGCCTGATTCATGAAAGCAGCCAGGTTCTGGATTCATATGACTAAGTATTTCCAGGGACTTTGAATCCAACCACTTTAACTTTGTTTGCACAACCCCCTAAAGAAAGAGTACAGAATTCTGTTTCCCTGATGGAGTAAGCTTGTCTGAAAAACAAAACAAAACAAAACAAAAAAAAAAAAACAAAACAAAACAAAAAAAAAAAAAACCTTGGCATTCTTAAAAACAAATCACAGACATTTGATGTTTCCAATAGTTTTAAGCCGGTTGTGTTCCAAGGTGCCCAATTAGTACAGCATTAACAAATCATTTTCCTTCTATTAATTAGAAAAGCATGTTGCCTTTGAGACTTTGGCTTGGGTGTTTTGATGAGTGTAGAAAATTTTATTTCTCAGGGAAGAAACGCCTCTGTAGCTGCTGGGCGATCAAGCCAGGAGCACAGGGCTCTTGGGACCTTGCAAGGAGTGCTGAGGCATTGGAGAGTGGGCTTCCCTGCAAAGGCACCATACGAGGACTTTCATGTGCTAGGAGCAGCGCTGGCAGTTTGGTGGCTTTTCTTATTTATTGCTCCCCACCCTGGGGGAATAATACCTGTATTTCTATGTCTGTGAAAACTGGGAATCTAAATGTGGGAGAAGAATGATGCTTAATGAGAACACCTCATCCTTCAGAGAGAGCTAAGTGCAGGTTTGCTCAGCAGCTGCAACGCCGGAAGTGTGGGCATCTTTCCCACCTCCTTGTGTACTAGCTGTCTGATGGAGGCTGTGGCCTGGGAAAGACATACTCAGGGCAACTGATTACACGACCTAACACCCAGGCTGCTTTTCCAAATCAGAGGTTTGGAATTTGTTTTAGATTGATTATATGTATGTGATTGTTTTGCCTTCATGTATGTTTGTGTACCACCTATGTGCCTGGTACCCTCAAAGGTCAGAAGAGGGTGTCCAGTCCCCTGGAACTGGAGTTGTAGCTGGCTCTGAGCTTCCATGTGGGTGTTGGGAATTGAACTTGGGTCCTCTGCAAGAATAAGTGCTTTTAACCTCTGAGCCAGCTCTCCAGTACCCCACGGTGTATTTTAAAAATCATAATTATTAATGCATACTAATTACCAATATCATGTTTTTTTTTTCTGCAATGTGTGCAGTTCCAGGTGTATACATGCAAAGAAAGAAAGTCTGGCCAATATACAAGAAAACATTTGGGAAAGGAAAGGGTAGTGGGAGGGTTTGTGACACACTTTTTTGTCTTTAATATCTACATGCCATATACACAAGGGGGATGGGAGGGGGAGGAGAAAAGCAGAAATGTCTTAGTGAGGTTCATTCAGTGCTAAGCACACTGGTGGCAGTCAAGTGCCCAGTTGGAAGCCCATCATCCTTACTTAGCCTGTACATCTTTATAGGTTCTTTGTCTTCTGTGCCTCTATATGTGGATCCTACAGTCTTAAGGATGAAAAGACCATGCTGGTCCATACCTGTACTATTGTAATGTTTGCCCTACCTATTCAGTGTGTGATATTATGTTAGAATACCTAGCATCGAGCTCACCTTGAGTCTTTGTGCATATTTTTCAGTGATGACTTCAGTGTGTTTTGAGATGGGAACCTCACTTTGTAGCCCAGGCTGGCCTAGAATTCCCCATCTCCCTTCCTGAGCCTCCCAAATGCTGCAGTTACCAGAGTGTACCACTACACCCCTCTATTTTCTTAGTTTTTATTTGACTTGTTAAATATATTAATTTTTTTTACTAAAAAAAAAAAAAAAACGAAAAACAAAACCAAGTGGAATCGTCTTATTTCATGGAGAGATACATTCCTGGATGTACTTTTTGACCATGTGATCTAATGTGTTTATTGCTACTAATCTGTAGACACAAAGTGTATATAATGACTTTTCCTTTTTCTGTCTTTTCCATAGGAAGACTATGATCGTCTGAGGCCTTTGTCTTACCCCATGACTGATGTCTTCCTCATATGCTTCTCTGTGGTAAATCCAGCCTCATTTCAAAATGTGAAAGAGGAATGGGTACCGGAACTTAAGGAATATGCACCAAATGTCCCCTTCTTATTAATAGGAACTCAGGTGTGTCTGCTTTGATTTTATTTATCTAAGAATATGCTCTCCTAGTTGGGTAGGGGTGGAGCGGTGAAGGGTATGGGGGTGGGGTTGCTCTCAGACAAAACACCCTATAATTAGCAAATGATGTGTTTTGTAAGTTTCTAATGGTTAGTCCTCTCATCTTTACATAAAAATAGTTCCCCAAAATTATATTATTATCTTTAAAAATCTTGTTTTAATAGGGGGGGAATGAACAGGACTATATGCATTGGTTTCTTTTAAAATACATGTTATGGGACATTATTGATCTCTCTTAATTAGATTGATCTCCGAGATGACCCCAAAACTTTAGCAAGACTGAATGACATGAAAGAAAAACCTGTCTGTGCGGAACAAGGACAGAAGCTAGCAAAAGAGGTAACGCGAATGTGAAGTGACAGGAGAAGCCAGCTGCACTGTTCATGTATCCCGGGCACTGCTGGGTGTCTCTCTCCCATATCTCCCTTATTTCTGCAAGGAGGGCCTGTGTTCTCAACTGTAGGGAGACTTGCCCAAGATCTTGCAGTTAAAAAATGGTAGAGCTGGGCTTCCGGGTCACATGCCTGTTTACCTCCACTATGTTTACAACTATGGCATCTGTAAAGTCATAGGTAGGTGGCTTTTTTTAAAAGCCAAGAAGCAGGTGAACAAATTTCTTAATTATTGAAATATTACTACTGTGCCAAATTGGGTTCTGCTTTCAGTTACAACTCGTAAAGGTACAGTTGAAGTGACATCAGGTAACTAAGAAAATTATGGCTAGACTCTTAAAAAAATACTTACAGATACATATACCTTTTTTTAAAATTATCTTTATTTTATATGCATTGGTGTTTGCCTTCATGCACCTGTGTGAAGATGTCAGACCTCCTGGAACTGGAGCTGCCATGTGGGTGCTGGGATTTGAACTGGGTCCTCTGGAAGAGCAGTCAGTGCTCTTAGCCACTGAGCCATCTCTGCAGACCCTATACAATACCCTTTAATTCACATTTTCCCTTACCCCAAAGCTAGATTCTTTTTCCCTCCATCTGACCATAAGATCATTGGATTCTTCTAATTCCTCTTCCTCTTCGTATTTTCCCATTGGCTCTCACAGGATTTTTGTGTAAGCACTATCTAATAAGGTCTTTTAAAATAGACTGTGAGATTAGAAAGAAGTAAGAGAACTTTCTGGAGGCCAGCTTTTGCCAAAGCAAAGAGAAAGGGTTTCTCTAACAGAAATCACTTCAGAAATTCCTTGCATTTGATTTTATAATCCTGGGGAGAGAAGGCTTAATTTCTAAATACATAAAGGCAAAAGTTATCAATGCAGGTGAGTTGATTACATAAATATGTGCTATTATAGCAGATGCCAGAAATAAAGTCAGGTTTATCTGTAGGGCATTAACAGCTTAGTATACAGCAACCCTTCTGTCAGATGAATTAATCAGAATAAAAGTGGGCTAAGAGTCTGAAGACGTGAGCATGAGCTTCCACTCCAAGGAGAATGCCATGTGACAACACAACGTATCACAACCTGCTATTATGGAGACGACTTTTTTTTTTTTTTTTTTTGAGGGAGAGAAACCAACCCTAAGTAGCTCTACATAGCGAGCATAGAGCTAGAATGCCAGAAGGGAATATGTAGTCTGAAGAAAATAAGAGCTGAAGAAATTAAAAGACAGAGCTGCCAGACAATGCTGAGAAACTGACTAACATCTACACAGGCAACAGTCACATGTGTCTCTCTTCCACCTCTTGGCCTCTCAGGATCTCTCACTCCTCAACCATGACCTATTGAGAAGGCTTCCCTGACTACCACCACCCTCCCATTTCCCTCTGTCCTTTCCCCCAGCACTTACCTGTGTCTGCTCTGTACTCCTTTTCTCAAAAACACGGCAGGACACCTGGGTCACTGACATACCCTCAGCCCTTAAGCAGTTGCTTAATGTGTAGGGAGTATCTAATATTTGATGAATGAACTTTCCATAGAGAAATCTGGAAAGTCATACACTAATATTTTAACAACTGTCTCCCTCTGGGTATTGTGAATATGGGTGAGGTTCTTTAACATAGCTGTATTTTATAACTTCCCATATAATGTTGGTGTTGCTGAGGTCTATAAAACTGTTTTATATAATTATGGCTTTTTTTTTTTTTTTTTCTCCTTCCCAGATAGGCGCACGCTGCTATGTGGAATGTTCAGCTTTGACCCAGAAGGGTTTGAAGACTGTTTTTGATGAGGCTATCATAGCCATTTTAACTCCAAAGAAACATGCAGTTAAAAAGAGAATAGGATCAAGATGTATAAACTGTTGTTTGATTACGTGAGAAAAGTCTGTAGTGGCCAAGGGACCTGTCCATTTCTCCCAGCATCTCAAAAGCTACAGCGATGTCCTGACCTCTTACAGTGAAGTTTAACCTGAGGGGGGAGGGAAACTGCCCTCAGCATTCTACAGTGTCATTGAGAATGTTTCTTAAAGGTCTAAGCAGCAGCAAACAGCATCTGAAGCCACAATCTACTATAAATACTTTATTTCAACTAGAAGGTACAATCTCTCAGGGGTTTCATAGTTAAAAAGCTACAATCACACCATGTTGAAACGACATTGAAAAAAACAACAGTGCTGTAAAAGGAACTGCTTGGCTTTGACCATACACATTTCTGCACAGCCCTTATGGAATCTGCACAAAGAAATGTCTTCTCCCCTTTTTCCTCTTAATTGCTCTTGTATGTAAGTTGCTTTCTATTCCAGTATATCCAGAGTGGTGAGCTAACCAGGCCAGCCACATAGCCAAAGGTCGCTCCGAGTGTACAGGAGATGGGCCACACCTGAGGAAAGAATTAGGAAATCGAAACCAACTGATGTTTTATTATTCCTTGAGCACAAACTAAGTGTAACATAAACATTTCTATAGTGAAGCTTAATGTGCTTTCTTAAAGAATGCCAAAAGTTTAATAGGTCATAACTGCATTTACTATGAACACTAAAAATGTACACACTTTAATGTGTATTAAAAGGTAACGAGGCTTCCGGCAACTGTAGATTTAGTTTGATGTTCCCCAAATTGCATGAAGTACATGCTAAAGTACAAATTTAAAAATTGGGTCATAGTTTGCCATAATCCTGAACTCAGTTTAGTTCTCTATAGTAGTTGGCCATTTTTCTAATACCCACTTTGGCTGTGCGCATCAAATGAAGCAAGAAGTGTGTAGGCTGACTGAACCTTAGAAATTTTCAGTTGTGTCAGAGGGAAGGCCTAGAATCTGAGCATGTTCCGTGGAGTGTGTAGGTGTTCTGCTTCTATGAGCTACAGATGCTGTATCCACCTAGGGTACAGCCTACAACTTATGCACACACTTAGAGTGCAAGGCAAGCAGAACATTACAGGCTTCCCAGATGGTTTCTCCAGCCATGCTACACTTCGTTAACCAGAACTAAGTAATGGTGATTTATTTTATGCCACAGACAGTGTATGTGGGCCCCTAAGTTAAAAGCACTGGGTAAAAAATCTTGGAAGCAAACTTTGCTTTTTCAGAAAGCTTATTTGGTGTGCTGGAGCCATTTCTAACCCTTCTCCGGGGAATCAGCCTTCAAAGTGTACTGGAGGAAAACCACCTTAATAACCGGCTGGTACCATTTGGCTTTCTTCCTCCGTCTGCTATGGATCTGCCTTATTCTAAACGCAATGCAACAGACAGTAGTGTTTGTTACACGAAGCTTCCATGCGAGCCAGCTCATACAGTTTAGGGAAGCATAATCTAATCCATATCGTGTTGCCAGCCTTTCTTAGGTTGAAATTTGTTGTTGCTTAAACTACGACTTCTTGGTCTTTAGCGAGCTTCTGTTATCTTCCAGAGTTTGTGCTTACAGCTTTGTCTATTGCACAGATTGCGTAATGGAACACTAAACACTGATACTTGAAAATGACAGCCTTAAATGTTCATACCAGTCACAAATCTAGATGTACTGTCTTGCATGTGAGCTTTGTAGGAGTTTTTGAAGTATAAGCACCATACTCCCCTACTTGGTAGTGGAGTCTACTGGACAAGAGTTTTCTCTTGGAAGTGGAAGTCCCATGTCTTTTTTTTTTTTTCCCCAAGCAGTGGTGGTTCACATTAAGCATCATGGCCTTATGTATGCTCAAATGGGATTTCTGTAACTTTCCCATTTTGTTTTGGTCTTGTTTTTAGGTAGAATTGAAAGAAATTGTATAATGAGTTAACATGCTAGCTAAATTGTCAAACCCATGATATGAAGGAATCCCGGCAGTAAAGTATTATTCATTTCCAAGTTGCCTTTGGAGATTTGATGGGTTTTGGTTTTACTTTCTTTTTCTTTTCTTTCTTTTTTTGTTTCTTCTTCAAATCTACATTTGTGAAACCCTTGACACTTGGTGTATTAAAGACAATGAATTTAAAGTCAAGACCATTCGTGCTTCAAGAGAAATGGATTAAGAATCTGGAAGCGCGCACTGGTGTCACCTCGGTTTCCTCATGTTATGACCATGAGAGTGCTCTCCGGTGTCCCTCCCACTCATGAGCTCTCTTCACTCTCCTCTGAGTCACAGCAGTCATAGTTGGACATCACCTTTTCAGCTTCCCTTTCTCCGGATGGTAAGAATCATGTATATAGAACACTCAAACTCTAAGCAGACGATTGTATCATCTGAACCTGAGGTGCCTTAGGTACTCTATTTACCTTGATGGGGTTTGGAGTTTCCCATTGCTTGTCAAGAGCTCTTTGTGTTGGTTATTTAGTATTTCTTTTTGCAAAATCTTCTCTGCCCATTTAACCAAAAATTAAAAAAAAAAAAAAAACCCACAAAAAACAAAACAAACAAACAAACAAAAAAAAAAAAAAAAACCAAAGATTTGTTTTCTATTCATGAGCAGGTTATAGAGAAATTGCCTTATTTTCAGAAGCATATCTTCTTTAAAGGCTTAGGTTGCAACAGAAATTCAGACTCATCTCTGGAAAAACTCTTTCAAACTAGTGAAATACCTGGGAAAGAAAATACTTTAAAAAACTATTTTACTAACATGGATTCTGCAGGTGAATACACTGCTTCAAATAAGGTCATGTACGAAAGAACTTGGAGGAAATCCTCATTGATCAGTGTTTGCACAGAAAATCTGTTCTAAGGTCCTTTAAAACTTTTAGGGGACTCTTGAGATCTGATAGAACTTTGCTAATGTGTGCTCTGGCCTTACAGGTACGTTGTAGCTTACTTGTGGTGAATTATCATATTTCCAATAAGCAGAGCTTGAGTTTGTGCCATTTGTTATGAATTATCTTAGTTCCTTTAGACACTGCTTCCATTTGATTTCTAATTATTGGTTTTAAATACCAAATTAAATACTGGTTTGTTGGTTGTTGCTTTTTAAATGATTGTTACTTCAACAGCGTCCCTTCCTCACGTATGGGGTCATAAATAAAATGAAATGCAGTTTACTACTTATAAAAAACACTGAGCTTCTTACCTTAGTAGTTTTTATTTAATCCCTTCCCTCTGCTTTGAGACTGCTCATCCCTGGCAATGTGTGAGCACCTGCACCCCTAAAAAGCTCTCTGTCAGTCAGAGTGTGGGGAGAGTGACAATCCCTGTGGCTCCAGGCAAATTCCAATTTCGGGTACCAAATTCTGCTTTAATCACTCTCTGATTTCAGGGTGGTTCATTGTTCTCAAATACACCATATATACATTTGCACATATTCGTTAGATGGTTGCCATACTTCACTTCCAAAGAATGCGAAAAATGAAATAAATGCTGGCTTAAACATTTTTCTCCTGTAAGGGGTTAAGGCTTGGCACACTCAGAAATGCACTGTTATACAAAACTCAAGACATCCATGCCATCAGCAAATAAAATATCCCAACTTTTCAGATGGTTCCCCAGTGATGGTCCAGGCTTTGTAGAAAGAGTGCTGGCATGACTCTCCTGCGACACAGAAGTCCTCAACTGTTAAGTCTTTTCCTCCTAAGCAGCTTCTTGCCAGCTTTCTTATAATTGCTTTAAAAATTTAAAACCATACCACAGTACAGAATTCATTCCGACTTGTCTAATCAGCCTGGTTTAATTCTATTTTAATAATGAGATCTTAAATGAGATCCATTTAAAACTATTTCCCTGTTTTAACATTCTTTGTGACACAATAGTATTTTTAAAAATCTACAGTACCTATGAGCTATTTCAGCTGCAGAGATATAAATATTTCTCCAAATTATGACACTCTGAGATCCCTATATATAACTATTTGGTTTTATGTAAGGAAAATTGGATTGAGAACAAAAGCGTTGATATTAAGAAAGCCATTCACAGGGTTTGCCACCAAAGTGACAATCATTTATCTAGTTTCTTTTCACTTCAAATTTTTCTTAAAAGTCACTAAGTGGAAGAAATATCTCCTGTTAAATAACATAATGCAATGCAAGTAGATAAAGTAAAGTTATCAAAGGAAAACCCTACTTTTAGAGGTGATCGGCTCTATTGGGTGGAAGGCTAGCACCCTAGTTACGCAAAGTGCACCTGCCCCTCATCTCAGCACTAATAGGCTAAGGAAGAAGATGGTTGTTCATTTGAAGCAACCTAAGATGCTGTCATAGGGTGACCATGCAGCTTGAGGAAGAAAGAAAAGGGTTTATTTGGCTTACACTTCGACAACTCTATTCATCATCTAAGGAAGTCCGGACTAGAACTCAACAGGGAAGGAGTTGATGCAGAGGCCATGGGAGATACTGCTTACTGGCTTGCTCAGCCTGCTTTCTTACTATAGAACCCAGGACCATCAGCCCAGGAGTGGCACCACCCACAATGGGCTGTACCTCCCACATCACTAATTAAGAGAATGCCCTACAGGCTTGCCAAAGCCTCATCTAATGGAGGAGTTTTCTCACTGAGGTTCCCTCCTCACAGATGACTCTAGCTTGTGTCAAGTTGACAGAAAACCAGCTAGCACTGCTGCAAAGCAAGACTTTTCTCTCATAAAAACCACCCTGGGCTGGTGCTGCATGCCTGTGACCTTGTGTTCAAAGGTTGGCTAACAAAGGAGAATTGGCTGGCTTCAAACTCATGATGATTCTCCTATGGGCTACAGGGTAAGATACTATCACAAAAAATAAGACACCAAGAAAAAAAAAAAAAAAAAGAAATAAAACACAACTCAAACAACCCCTCGAAATAAATAAAAATGCCTTGTTTTTAGGGCACCATTATGTTCCTTGTGATAAATCAAGTGGTGATGGGTATTTTTTTTCTTTCCTTTATCACTGGGACCAAAAACCTAAAAGTCTGTTTTCTCAAAGTAATAAAAATGAATAAAGATTTTACATTACCTAACATAGAATCTGGGCAAGTGAAACCTGTAGTACTTTCTCTGTTTTTTTTTTCTCCAGAAATAATTTCATCTTCTTAAGCCAAAATGCATTTTCATAATATATAAATAAATTGCACGTGTGCTTTTTTTTAATGTCAAATAAAAACTGTTTGAAAGGAACAATATGGGTGGGGCAGACTGGCTGCTCTTCCAGAGGACCTGTGTATGACCCCTAGCACCCAGGGAGACTCACAACCATCTGTAACTTCAGTCCTGGGATCCAACACCCACTTTTGCCATGTGGACACAAGGCACATGCATGCAGACAAAATACGTAAAATAAATAATCTAACAAAAGACAACAATATAAAAAAATGCAATAATACAAAAGTGTGTGCCCACTTGTGCTTTAGGAAGAACTGTTTATGTCTTAGGAAAGGAAATATTCCCACACATCTATACATTCCTCAACTGTGCTCTAGCTAGCATAAGAGTGATTAAGAATACTGATTTTGGTCCTGGACAGACTGCATTTGAATCCTGGCTTTAAGATTTACTAAACATGTGGTCCTTAGCAAGTCATCCAGCTACTCTGTGCTTAGTTTCTGTGTTCAGTATATACCCTGGTACCTGCAGGTGCTCACAAACACAGCAATAATAAATATCAATGTAGAAAACGAATGATTCCTTTCCCACCGGGATAGAAAATCATATTTATGAAATACTTTCTAAAAATCACAGGTGTCACAAATTCTTGCATAACTTGAAACTTTTAAGTCCTAGGACTATAACTGAATTGTTTTCTGCAAAAATGTCAGTATAGAGGATAAAACAAAGATCACTGGTTTGACCAAATGAGGACTTACACAGTTTTAGGTGAATTGGCATTTCCCTTCCTGAAGAATGGATTATACTGTATCAAAGTAGAATGTTAACTTATACTTTATAGATTACAAGACTGTGGAAAGTATTACTTAACAGAAGATGTGCTCATTGTAAGCTCTGCTGACAGGGCCAAGGCAGGCCTTTCATGAGAAATGGATGGTATTAACCAGGCCAACATATGTGTGTGTGTGTGTGTGTGTGTGTGTGTGTGTGTGTGTGTGTGTGTGTGTGTGTGTGTGTGTCCAGGAATGTGAACTGTCACTTTTGACAGGAGTCCTGATCAGGGATTCACCTCTATACAAGTAACTCCCTATGTTCTTTGTAGTAGGAGAGAGGTCAGAGTACATGCAGACCAGTATCCATTTACAATTAGCAGACTACAGCAAATAAGCAGGTACCACTCATGTATTCCTTCATCAAATTGCAGCATTTGTGTTAGGAGTATCCAGCATGACACACACACAAGACAGAATTCAAAGGAAATGCAAATGATCATTTGAAGACAGTAGGTTAGCAGGCTTCATCAGATGAATTCTAATAAGTCATGCAAATGAGAATTTGTGCAGGACAATAAACCCACTGAAAAGTAGCTTGTGGGAGACGTAGAACTGGCTTGCCTTGAGTTTTACCTTCCTTTATAGGTGAAGAGAGAGCTAGTAACCCCTCTGCGGACTCATCAGTTTCTCCCTATTTACCTCTGCTGGCACCCACATTTGGAGGCTCACAAACACCTGTAACTCCAGCTGAGGGATCCAGTGTCCCTCCTGGATCCAATGGGCACACACAGGTACAGATACACACAAACACGCAAGTCTTCAGAACAAGTAAGTGGAACAGGTGACACCTGTCACCTTCCTATAGCCACATGCTACAGGTGTGCACACACTCAAAGAAGAGAAAGCATGAGTTTTTCAAACACAAGAGCATTGTAAATTAGTTTGAAATATGCTCCTACAAATGTATTAAACTTTGGTCTAAAAATACATCCCAAGAGTGATAAGGACATTTAGAAGAAACAATGTGGGAAATGAAAGCAATTTAATACTTATGCTATTCTAAAGAGAACAAAGCTACAGCTTTAAAAAGAAACAAACACTGTGTTTCAATCTCCAGCAGTGAAGAGAATCATGGTGTAGGTGGAGCTTTAGTTTGAATCCTAAATCTTCCTTTTGCCAATCAAATAATGGTGAGCATGGTGTGTACTCTTTCCTCCTACGTTTGCCTTTGTGGTGGTTAAGAACAAGAAAGAGATCTACCTTGCACTACAGTTGCCATGATTACATTACCTTCGGCATAGCATCAAGATCCATGCCTGGTACACAGAAACCTACAAATGACGCATGTTCTATTTGTGTCTGAAATGTCACACAGAATTGAACATGGCATGAAACTCAATAAACAGGTTTAACAGAATGCCAAAGAGACAAAAGGAAACTAACTCACTTAAAAACTGCTAGCAGAAAGAACAAGACAGAAAGACGACAATGAGCTCAGCATACATAATGAAGGTGGCATTTGTGTGTGCTGGGAGCACTGTAGGCAAAACACTTCTTTCTTAGGTTGCAGCAGCATGGCAGGTGCCTCCTACACAGTGAGGTCATCCTTCAACTATGCAGCTAGCTCTCATCGCCTAGCACTACTAAAATCATTGAAGGCTCACGTTAAGTGGAAAATAAGTTTTCATTTTCACTGGACCTTCCCTGAAGAATCCATTTGAAAAGTACAAATATGCTTGAGGTTTCTCATTATAGAATGCAATCAACATCTGGCCACAGGAACATTATACAAAATAAAATTTGAATTCAGAGAGAAAATGGCATTCACACATGACAGATTTTGTTGGTTCTGTGTGTTCATTCATGTGTGTTTTTAAAGAAACCAGACACTCCTATTTCTCCAAAATATAAACAAAACATAACCCAAAGATGCTTGCTTTGAACATAATTTAAACAAATCAAGCGTGTATTGGGCTGCAAGGAACTAAGACTAAAATCTCCTTTTAATAGCATGTTGTATTTTAGACAGCAGAGTTTATACAGTAGTATCTTCTCAAAGTTTGCTCTAGCAAAGTCCCCACATTTAGGAAATGCTTTTCTGGCAGATTATATCAACATTATGAGCCACAGTGAAGTCTTGTTCTGTAGAATTTGATTTGTTGGAAAATAACAATGGCACCACAAAAACTATGCTGAAAGTGAAAGAAAAAAATGAAACCTCATCACTTCTCTAGTTTACTAGGAAACAACTAGGAAA